GACACCTGAGAAGTCATTTTAGACCCCCAGCTACTTTCTGTGGTCTTTGCCCTACTTGCTCAAGCACACTTCTTGTGCAACTTCCTAGGAGGTGTCAGAACTACAAAGAAAAGCAAAAACCTCAGTAGTTAAGGATTCTAAGGAAACAAAGGGAATGCAAAAGCTCTCAGTCTCTACAGGGCCTGGAAATAGCTAACCCCATCAGAGACAAGAAATCAATGGTAAAACTCTCCCAGTGTTGTTTCAAACATAAGCAAGATCCTGCATTCCTTACATGAGGTAGGGAGCCCAAGGCCCCATCCAGTTTATAACTGGCTCTGGAAGCACCCTCCCCTTGTGTCAGTTACCTCTGCTTCATTATAATGTTAAGTTAAAATCTCCACCTAAGGAGGAGCAGAAGCTTCATCAACATACGGTAGGATATATGTTTGGCACATTTTCTAAGTACGCCTGCCTGTTGCAACCTTATGTCCCCTTTACATGTGACAACAAAACCCTTTTCTGAATATTCATCCTAAGTCTAAATAAAAGGAACCCATTCACTCCCACTCAAGGAGTCGTGGCTTTGGAAATCATCCCCATGATCTCCTTATTTGTAGTAAATAAAATTTCCTTTGTGTGGCAACTGCACTTGGTATAGTTGCTACCTGTAACTCTCCAAGGAGATAACTCACATTAGTTCCATTACCATAGTAATTAAATTAATGTTCTTTCTGTTCTTTCTAGGTTCTTATTGCTAATCTTTAGTCATCTCCTCTGTTCCATGCTCATTATACTCTGGCTAATATGAGAACAAAGATCATAAAGAATTTCACAGAGCATTTTAAGAGGTATTTATGTTTATTACAGTTACTATGGACCAATGTGAAGGGACTGAAAGGGAATATGCTTTGAGTCAGAGAGTTAGGGTACAAATCCTGCATTCACTTAAAGCAAATTATTCTTTGAGGTTTTATTTTTATTTATTTTTATTTTGGGGGAGAGGGGAGGGGCAGAGGGAGAGAATCTCAAGCAGACTCCCTGCTGAGTGCGGAGCTCCACCCTGGGTTTGATCTCATGACCCTGAGATCATGACCTGAGCTTACATCAAGAGTCTGACGCTTAACCAACTGAACCACCCAGACACCCGTCTCTGAGGTTTTACTGCTTAATCTTACAATAGAGCTAATAACATGATCTCACTATATTGATGTACTGAACAGTTGATATAGTATGTGAGAAAGAGAAAAACAGTCCCTGAGAGCCAGAGATATAGCTGGGTGCTAATGCTGATGCCTTAGTGGAGTCAGTCTGGTCTCATAGCTAAGCTGTGCTATTTTACAGAACAGAATGCCACCAGACAAGGCCACTCTGTGACCATGAGGGAGCAAGATAAAAATTGAGACGACTCTGCAATCAAAGCTGAGCACAGATAAAACAAACATGTGTCCATACTACAAAATTAGCCAAATAATCCCCTGCCCTGGCCTTTTCCTAATAAGGGTAACTACTGCAATTTTATCAATCATGACTTTAGTTCTACTTTATTCCTTTAATCCTGTTGATAAGAATTCTTTTTTTTTTTTTTTAAAGATTTTATTTATTTATTTGAGAGAGAGAGGGAATGAGAGATAGAGAGCACGAGAGGGAAGAGGGTCAGAGGGAGAAGCAGACTCCCTGCTGAGCAGGGAGCCCGATGTGGGACTCGATCCCGGGACTCCAGGATCATGACCTGAGCCGAAGGCAGGCGCTTAACCAACTGAGCCACCCAGGCGCCCCTGATAAGAATTCTTAAACAAAACAAACCTGGTATTATGTTCTCTTCTCACAAAATTTAATCCAGAGCCAAGTCCCAGCTTTCAGAATACTTTCTGAAACCATTTAACACAAATCCAAAAGTATGTTCTCCTTTATTGCAATGAGCCAACCAATCTACTTTTTTGACTACAGGTGTGGCCTTGATAGTCTTTTGCTAGAGGGAATTGACATTTAAATATAAATGCATATAAAATGTGATAATGTATCACTAATAGTAGTTTCATGTAATTTCTCTTCACAGATCACCTAAATCAATGAAACATATTTGTTGCATGGTTTTTGTTGAGATACTAGACAATATGCTCTTCTGCCAGCAATATCATGGAGATATTAATAGGACCTGTGAGTATGTGTGTTTGTGTATATCTTGTCATCATGAAATAGCTTTAAGACATATTAGAGATTTAAATGGCAAGATGGATCCTCATATTACAATCCAAACTATGAAAATAGTATATAATTAAATTTCCAGTATATCACTAGCTTGCTCAGTTGGCACATGGGATGTATTGTTAAAAACAAAACAGGGGCACCTGGGTGGCTCAGTCGGTTAAGCATCCAACTCTTGGTTTCAGCTCAGGTCATGGGTGGTGGGATGGAGTCCCACATGGGGATCCATACTCAGTGGGAAGTCGGCTTGAAGATTCTCTCCCTCTGCCCCTCCCCCACTCATGCTATCTCTCTCTCTCTTTCAAATAAATAAAATCTTTAAAAAAGTATATGACAAAACACACATATAATATATTTACATAAAACATATATATATATACATATGTATATATTTGAGAGTGTGGAGAGGTTTCTCTTATTTAGCTTCTAATTCTGAAAATTTCATTCTTTTTAAACAAAATCTCTCATTTGATTATAGTACTACTGAAATACCCTCCAATATATTTTTCCTAATTTAAAAAATCCAATAGCATGGGGCGCCTGGGTGGCTCAGTCAGTTAAGCGTCTGCCTTCAGCTCAGGTCATGATCCCAGGGTCCTGGGATCGAGCGCTGTGTTGGGCTCAGCCACTCAGCCTTCTCCCTCTCTCTCTGCCTGCCTCTCTACCTACTTGTGCTCTCTCTCTAACTCTCTGTCAAATAAATAAATAAAATCTTAAAAAAAATCCAAAGAAAATTTATAATCAAATGCTTACCATTGTTTCTATAATTGCTTAAAGTTTCACAGTATCTAATTTTTTAGAAGGATTTTCATATACATGATTCTTGTTTGCTTCAGTTACTTGGCTATTCTTGGTCTAATACAGTTCATATAAATTTTAAAAACAGTTTGTCAATTTCTACAAAAGCTCACCTAGGATTTTGACTAGGATATCATTTATTTCAAAGGTCAATTTTTAAAATTTTAATTCCAGTATACTTAACACACAGTGTTATATTAGTTTTGGGTGTACGACATAGTAACAGCAATTCTATACATTACTCAGTGCTCATCATGATAAGTGTACCCTTAATCCACATCACCTCTTTTACCCGTCCCCCCACCTACCTCCCTCTGATAACCATCAGTTTGTTCTCTATAATTGAGTCTGTTTTTTTCATTTGTCTTTTTTTTCTTTGTTTGTTTTGTTCCCAAAGATCAATTTTGATGCTCTCTATTCATAGATATAGTACATACCGCTAGTTATTTAAGTTTTTCTTGCTTTCAATATTTTATGTTTTCTCTGTAGTGGTCTTGTGCATGTGTATGTGTGTATTTTAAGATTTATTTATTTATTTTTAGAGAGGGGGTGAGGGGCAGAGGGAGAGAATCTCAAGCAGACTCCCATTGAGTGCAGAGGGCAACACAAGGCTCAGTCTCACAACCCCAAGATCATGACGTGAACCAAAATCAAGAATTGGAAGCCCAACTGAATGAGCCACCTGGAATCTCGGGTCTTGTGTATTTTTAATAAAATTCATTTCTAAGTCTGATATTTCTTGATACTATTTAAGTGATAACACTTAAACTTTTATTTTCCCTTTATTTCTTATAAATAAAAATAAAATTAGCTTTATAATTAAATTACATAAGCAGTCTTTTTCAAATTCACTTATTTATTCTAAAAGTTTACTTCCAGATTCCTTTGGATTTTAATATATATTCACATTATCTGTGAATAAAAGTAGTTTAATTTCTTTCATTCTTATTACTCCTTTTATTTAATTTTGTGGATTTACTGTACTTCTAGGACAGCTGGATAAAATACTGAATGTAAATCATCATACCAGGAATCCTTGTCATGGACCCATTCTCAAAAACAATGTGTTCAACATTTTACCATTAACCATATTTGCTATAGACATTTTTGTAGAGGAATTTTATCAGATTAAGGAAGTTTTTTTACTTGATCACTAATTTCTGCAACTTTTTGTCAGGAATGGACATTGAAATTGATTAAATATTTTTAAACATACGATTTTTAATGTTTTTTTCTAAGTAATCATCCCTTTATTTAGTTTTTTTTTTTTAAAGATTTTATTTATTTATTTGAGAGAGAGAATGAGAGAGAGAGAAAGTACATGAGAGGGGGGAGGGTCAGAGGGAGAAGCAGACTCCCTGCTGAGCAGGGAGCCCGATGCGGGACTCGATCCAGGGACTCCAGGATCATGACCTGAGCCGAAGGCAGTCGCTTAACCAACTGAGCCACCCAGGCACCCCCTTTATTTAGTTTCGATAAGGACTTCCAGCACAGAACACTGTTAGAAATTAACCGTTAGGAACTACGTAAAAGAGATGTAAGGCAAGTACTATATAAAGACCAAATAGATAAACACAGGTTTTATTTTTCTACAGAATTTACTGCAGGTTATCATGTAATGAAGACAAAAGCAGATCACTCTTAATGTGTCAAATTTGTTTAGTAATTTAAATAAAAACATAGGACTCCCATCACACTGATAATTCCAAATCTATTTTGAAAATCGAATCATCAGGAAGTATCTATCGGGAGACTATGTACCTACCTATCATATTATACCAAAAATAAGGCTGCTCTCTTCACAGAATATACGGATAATGAAGGGGGGGAAATCAGAGGGGGAGACGAACCACGAGAGACCATGGACTCCGAGAAACAAACTGAGGGTTCCAGAGAGGAGGGGGGTGGGGGGACGGGTCAGTCCGGTGATGGGCATTAAAGAGGGCATCCATTGAATGGAACACTGGGTGTTACACACAAACAATGAACCATGGAACACTACATCAAAAACCAATGATGTAATGTATGGTGATTAACACAACATAACAAAATAAAATTTTAAAAAAAGGTGCCACTAAATGTACAATTAAAAAAAAAGAATATATGGATAATAAGTAATCAACCATCAACACAGTGGATGTTCTAATATTGGGGAAATAGTGGAAAACTATTTGTTAAAAACCAAATTTCTCTGGACATTGTTTATCTTGCCCTTGCAAGAGACTTGTAGATCCAGATGAGATTAGCTTAGAAAAGGGGTCTTATTTTGTCCAAAAAATCTTCAGAGTCCAATACAGTTCTGAGCTAATCAGATACTAAAGAACCTTTACAAGGACAAGTAGGCTTGGAAATCACACAGTCTTATTTTGAATTAGCTTCTTTTAGTCAAAGGTATGGAATTAATGATCAAGTACCAGGAATTTCTGTAATGCACCCAATGCCAAATGACTACTGACATTTTATTTCCTACTATGATGACTCCTTGATTAGAGGTAGGTGGGAGGCATAAAGAATATTGTGAGCTATAAAATAAATTCTACTCCAATGCTCAGAGCTCTAAAGGCAAATCTTGTTTTTTAATATAAGAAACTCACTGAATCAAATGAATGCTGATTAGAGCAAAGGTAGTGTAAGTAAAACTGGGAGAGGAAATCTCTAACTGCATAGGAAATACATGAAAGAATTAATCATTCTAAGAGAAGAATCATTTTCCCATTAGCCCCACTGTTATGGATGATATTTTCGTGAGCCTGGGCCACCTTCTCCAGTGAGTACTGAGAACGTATTACAGGTGTCAACCAACCAATTTCCATTCCAGCTTGAAGGGCGCTGCAAATTGCCTAAATTCCTCCTTAGTTGATGAATAGAAAGCAACTCCAATTATACTAGATTCCTTTGCCGTGGTGTCCCTTGGGTTTATTTCAATAGGACCTCTGCTGCCAACAACTATTACTTGTCCTCCATATTTCAGAAGATTCAAATCATTACTAAGATTTACTTTAGCTAACGTTTCAATGATCACATCAATTCCTTTTTCACCAACAGATTTTTTTAATCTTATCAATACAATTGAGTTCTCTGTGATTGAACACTTCATGGGCTCCATTTTGCAAAACAGTGTTTTGTCCTTCCTCTGGACCAGCTGTGCCCAAAACCTTTAAGCCATAAGCTCTGGCAATCTGGCATGCTGCTAGTCCAACTCCTCCGCTAGCCCCATGAACCAGCACACTTTCTCCAGCTTTCACACGGGCACTGTGGAGCAGAGCTCGATAGGCAGTAAAATATGGAATACCGATGGCAGCTCCTTGCTGAAAGTCCAGTTTTTCTGGCAGTGTGTAAACACTGTGATCTGCTGCGAGAGCATACTTGGCCTAGCCCCCAGAGATGGCGCTGGTAGTGAAAACTCTGTCACCTTTCTTGAAAGTGAATACATTATCTCCAACGGCTTCTATTAAATGCCAGCCACACCTGAACCAGGAGTATAGGGTAAGAGTGGTTTTCTGCTGTAAGTACCAGAACAAATATATGTTTCCACTGGGTTTACACCACATGCGTGGACTTTGATCAGAACCTGATGGTCTTTTGGAATTGGTACTGCAATATCCAACTGGAGTTTCAGCACTTCTGGTCCACCAAATTCAAAAACTCGAATCACTTTCATCAACCTCTGTCCAGTCGCCATGGTGATCCAGTTCTAGAGTGGGGAAGCAAAACCTGCGAAGGCTCACCCAGATTTCACAGAAAAGCTGTTTTTTTTGTTTTGTTTTGTTTTTAGTTTTTTAGTGTTATAAACAAAACCGATTTTTTAAATGTTAAAGCTCCTTTTATTTCCTGGAATTCATTCAACTTTGTTCTGATATACTATACTTTCTAAAACATACATATTAGACTAATTTTATTATTTATTAGGCATTTTCCAATTACTGTTATGAATGAGAAGAGCTCATTAATTTCCTTGTCATATTTTTTTATCAAGCTAATGCTGGACACATAAAATAAACTGGGGAGTGCTACTTTTTTTTTTTTTGCCTTATCCAAAAGTGTGTAAATAAAGTTAGTATTACTTTTATTTTTCCTTAAATACCTGGGCCTAAATCTTCTTTTGATTAGATTGTTTAATTTTTCTATTTCTTTTTTTTTATCAATTTAAGAGTTTACTGTTGCTTCAGTATCTGTCCACTTTAATTTATTTAATGATATTAAAATGTATTAATTTAAAGATGTTCACTTTATTATATTTTTAATTTCTGTTGGCTATGTTATAATGCCTCCTCTTTTATTCCATGATATTCTTTATTCACTCTTTCATTTTCAGGTTATCATTTGTTTTAATATTAACAAATACCCAACTCCCGTGATCTTCTCAAGTTTTTTTAATTTTAATTTTTATTAATTTATGCTCATGTCTTTATTATTTCTTCCTTCTTCTCTGGGTTTAATGTGCTCTTTTTTTTTAACTTCTTGAGATAGATGGTTTGATCATTGATAATTCTCATTTTCTTCTTTTTTGATATAAGTACCTCAAGCTAAAGATTTCTAAGAATTGACTTCACTTCATCCCATAAACTATGATATTTACTATTTTTATTACCTTCTAGTTTCATAATGTTTTTACTTCCATTGTGATTTCTCCTCTTATTACCTTCTAGTTTCATAATGTTTTTACTTCCATTGTGATTTACTGCTATATAATATATATTATATAGCAGCGAAAGCATTTTTTTAATGTTTAAACATGTAAGGGATTGTAATATAATCTTAGGTATTGATTTCTAGCTTACTTGTACCATGATTAGAGAACATGGGATGATTCATGTAGGAGACTGGTGGAGTTATTATATAAAATGCTACCAAGGGGTCAGTAAGGTAAGAGATCTGTGATTATTAAATATAGTAATATGGAGTGTAATGTTGAGCTTAACACAGCTATCCCAAGGCAATGATTGGAAAGAATTGCTATTATTTGCAACATTCTAACCTTATTAAGAGTAATATAATTATTCATATTTTGGTCAAAACTATATTTTATCATATATCATGTCAAACTTAAGCTTTAAAAACATCAGTTCAAAGGATCTCTTCATTTTTTTGATCACTACTTGGAGAAAACAAAAATTTAGAAAAATGTTTTAGTTTTATCATTTTGATTGAGATTTCCCAGATTGGGTAATAGGAGTATCTAGCACTTATTTTATTCAAATTGCACAAAGATAATAAGCTATAGTCAACTTTCTGAATTAAAGATCTGTTTTGGGGTTCATGGGTGGCTCAATAAGTTAAGCATCTGACTCTTGATTTTGGCTCAGGTCATGATATTGGGGTTGTGAGATCAAGCGCCATGTCAAGCTCCAGGTGCAGCATAGATTCTCCCACTCCCTTGGTCCCTCCCCCTCTCTGCTAGCACATGCATGCATGCTATCTCTCTAGAAAAATTTAAAAAAAAATAATAAGGTCTGTTTTGTTTATTTTATTTGCCATTTAAAAAATATTTAATTGGAGCATCTAAAAGATCTAGAAATGACCATTTTGTAATATTAATTAATTAAAGTTTCCAATCAATGTTTCCCCATAGTAATCATTTTTCTATGCAACATCCATAATTTAACAAATTCACTGAAAATTGAACTTTTTTTTTCAAGTTTTTATTTAAATTCTAGTTAGTTAACATACAGTGTAATATTAGTTTCAGGTGTAGAATTTAGTGATTCATCACTTACATACAACACCCAGTGCTCATCACAACAAGTGCCCTTCTTAATACCTGTCACCTATTTAACCCATCTCCCCACCGACCTCCCCTCCAGTAACCCTCAGTTTGTCCTCTATAGTTAAGAGTCTGTTCTATGGTTTGCTTCTCCCTTTTTTCTTCCCCTATGTTCATCTGAACTCCTATTCTTTTTTTTAATTTTATTTTATTATGTTATGTTAATCACCGTACATTACATCATTAGTTTTTGATGCAACATTCTATGATTCATTGTTTTCATGTAACACCCAGTGCTCCATGCAGAATGTGCCCTCTTTAATACCCATCACCAGGCTAACCCATCCCCCCATCCCCTCCCCTCTAGAACCCTCAGTTTGTTTCTCAGAGTCCATAGTCTCTCGTGGTTTGTCTCCACCTGCGATTTCTCCCCCTTCAGCACATAGAATTAATGAACTCCTATTCTTAAGCAGCTCAGTGCCTCACCCAAATCATCATAATGCACAAAATTAAACAAGTAGTTTCTTCCATGATGAATATGATTTTCTATGACCCAGTGCATGACATGTAACACTTAATATTAATATCAATATTATCAATATTAATGTCCCACTTTCCACTAGGTCTTTAATATTCTAATAAATCTATTTAATTAAAATTTAATTTTAAGTTAATCAGCCTTATAGGAAAACTAAAGTTAATATTTATATTTCACTCAGAGAAAAGTAAAATAAATTGGTACATGTGGTATTCTCTCAAGAAAAGGTATGCCAATGATTAGAGATTTCACTTGATAAAAATTGTCACACTTAGAAAATTCAACATAAACATTTTCACTTTAAATTCAGGAAGAGATTACAACTGAATGAACTTGAAAGATTTTGGTGATATGTTCTATTTCTAGAAATAGTGTTTCTATTTACTTTGTATTTCTCTTTGTATTAGTTTAACTAAAATATTCAAAGTAATATGTCAAAAGTATGATATTAAAATGATTTTTTTTAAATTTTGAGGTATGCTCTTATCGGATCATAATTCTTCACTGGAATAAATTAAATTTTTTATTTAGAAATATTAAAGTGTTTCTATTTTAAAAGTTCCCACTTGCAAATACATCTAGAGCACTATTATATTTTCTTTTTTTCCCCAAGATTTTATTTATTTATTCGACAGACAGAGACACAGCGAGAGAGGGGACACAAGCAGGGGCAGAGGGAGAGGGAGAACCGGAATCCCTGCTGAGCAAGGAGCCCGATGTGGGACTCGATCCCAGGACCCTGGGATCATGACCTGAGTCGAAGGCAGATGCTTAATGACTGAGCCACCCAGGCGCCCTATTATATTTTCTTTAATTTATTGATCATATGCTTTTGTTAAAGGCACAACTGGTTGGGGGCTACAGGGAGAGGTGGTATACTTTAAAATTAATAAATATAAGCATTTTGAGTTCTTTCTTTAATAAAACATAATGAATTTTCTATTCCAGTGATTCCATTTCATTAGATAATTAATACTTATCAAATCAAGGAAATACAGCTGTTTATTCTCATGACATCAAATTAATGTTCCATATACACATTCTGTCCATGTTTAATGTATCATAAACCTTCAAATGATTTCAATTATATTTTTATAAAGTAAATCTAATCTCAGTGTCTTATCACAACTGGGAAGACCGCTAACAGTCCGTAGGACAAAGACTACATGGCTGTATGGACAGAATAAGCAATATATACTCAGGGAAGATTTAGAAAGTATCTGAAATATATTCTTACATAAAATATCAGTCACACGCTGAGATTCTAATCTGACGTAATCTGAAGATGGAAGTGAAACAGCCAGTAAATGAATGATTCAACAAAAAGGTAAGCACTGAGGAATGTGTATGAAATGACATCAATGCTCTGCTTACTTCAAATTGAACAGTAACTCCAAAAATAATATTACATAACAATTAGAAGTTTATTCTCAAATATTCACTCTTTGAAATAATAATGTCTTCCAGTGAAGAATTATTATCAGCAAAGACCATATCCAAAAATAAGACTGAGATAAATTAGAATAATAATAACAATTCCTGTATGTGGCATTTTTCTTCACTCTATTGTCACAGTATCATTAAACAGATACTGCGCCTACAAACTATCAGGACAAAATGGCCTATGACCACAGAACTGTTGAATCACAAAAAGCAAATTTAAAAAATTAATGTAATGGGTGGCTCAGTCAGTAAATGACCAAGTCTTGATTTTGGCTCAGGCCGTGATCTCAGGGTCCTGAGATTGAGCCCTCCATCGGGCTCCAGGCTCAGTGGGGAGTCTGCTGGAGATCCTTTCTCCCTCTCTCAAATAAATAAATAAATCTTTAAAAAAGTTAGTGTATCATGATACTGAATGTAGCTTAGATACTGACTTTACTAGTAATGAAAAACTGTGCAATTTGATATGGCTGCAAAATGAATTAATTAGATGTTCTTCCATAAACACTTACATATATAGACTATGACCTAATAAAGAGATGTGCACATCTTTAAGTTTCTAACACATGTTGACCCTTATAATAAGCCTTCAATATAATTATCTCACCTAATCAACACTGAGAGACATCATCCCCATTTTAAGGATGAGAAAAATGAGGCCAGAGTATTTACATAGTTAACCCAAATTGACACAATTAGCTAAATTCTATAACTATGCATCATAACCAGTTATTTAAGCCTTACAACTCATGGTCTTCTATATATTATGCTGTAGCATCCCTACAATAATAAAGGATTAAAAAATCCTTGCATAATTTGGCAGGAACTGTTTAATAATTCTTCCATGAAGATAAAATAATTATCTAGAAAAAAACTTAATTTCTGTTTTAATTTTAGCTCATATTGTCCTTTTCTCTCCTCTTCAGAAATAAAAATAATTCATTTCAAGCCATTTAAAGCCATTTTCACATAAATAACCTATATTTTTCTAAAAATTATC